TTAGGGGTTTAGGGTTTAGGAACAACCCTTATAGCAACCCCCCCCCCTTGAAGTAAGTCAAGGAGACCTCCAAGCAGCGGCTTGGCGTGGAGACCGGAGCCGAGACAGGCAGCTGCCAGGGCGTCCGGGGGCTGATCAGCATCTCTGCCTCCATCTTGGAGTATCGTGGGACTTACCTATCGTCTCCATTGTAGTTCCTTTTTTTGGTTAACCAAAATCTCTATTATAGGATCCTAACCATAAAACTGGTTAACCAAAAAAAGGAACTACAATGGAGACTATAGGGAGTATCGTGGGACTTAGTAATTAAGCGTTCCTTAAAGGGCTCCTTAAAGGGATCTATGGGGCTCCTTAAAAGAAATCTATAGGGTTTGGGGTTTAGGGTCTACTTGGAGGATCATGGGACTTAGAAAGTAAGGTTATAGGAACCGTAATTGGGGTTATGAGTTGTCAAAAGTATAGTTACCCTAATTATAACCCTTGTTTCTAAGTCCCATGATCCTTTAAGTAGGGCTGCTTAAAGCAGCTCTTAGGGTTTAGGGTTTGGGGATTGGGGTTTAGGGGTTTAAGGGTTTAGGGTTTTAGGGTTTTGGGGGGCATGAAGGTGGTTTGAGGATTTAGGGGTTTGGGTTCTTTTTTTTTGGGGGGGGGGGGGGTGCAGGGGGGTTGAAGGGGTTGGGGGATCGAGCTTTTTTGGTGTTGGGTTTCTTCTTTAGGGTCAGGGACTTACGGATAGCTCCCAGCGTTCGAAAGGCTCCTTTGCAGAAGTTTTCGAATCTGAGATCTGCTCCAGCAGTCGCGTTGGGGGCTCAGGGCTTAAGCTCGAAGTTTCAGGGGGCGCATTTTGAGGATTTGCGGACGAACTTTGCTAAAAAATATGAGACACGCAGGCCTGCGGCTGCGGGAAGACGGGTGATGTTGAGAAGGGCGCCATGCAAGGCGCCGGCAGTGGCTCTTTTGGACTCATCTGCAGCTCGGCCTTCGAAATGGTTTCAGGATTCGGATTCAATGTTTAGGGCGCCTAAACCCTAAACCCTAAACCCTGAACCCTAGGGTTTAGGGTTTAGGGTTTAGGGTTAAGGGTTTAGGGTTTAGGGTTTAGGGAAAATGACCGTCGGAAAAAGAGAGAAGGAAAACACCTCCTTCGCTTGTCAGGCTGGGAAAAACTGGAGTGGCGGTATTGGTTCACCGTAGCTCGAAGTACAGCGATCAGTGGTAGCACTGCTGGTCGCTAGAGTCGACAACACAGTCATCACCACCACCGTCATCATCCCTTCCTGACCCAAGAGCGGTTGGAGCCTGCGATAGAGTCCACGGAGACGCGGGACAGACAGCTGCAGGGCGTGCCTCGCCAACAGCTTACGTACAGAGACAATCGGAACTCTGCCGGCATGTTCTTCTATTCAATGATGTCATCGTCTTGATCTTTTGTGAATCCAAGTTTGTGGGTGAACATACAGACATCTCCTTGTTCTCATGTCGAGTATGGCAGCAGTGTTTTGAAACCCGCCTGTGGTGTGGCAACCGGCACCGCTGCGGAGAAAGCTGGCATCAAAGGGACTCCGGCGCTTCTCACAGAGTCGGCCTGTTCGGGAAGGATCAGCAGCAAATCTATTCTGCAAGCTGGCTGCCCGGAACTGATGCCAGACCCTGGACTTTGCGATGAGTTTGCAGGTAGAAGTTTTCAAAGTGTCAGCATGGGAGGTATTGGGCAGATTGACTCCGACAAAGACCACACTGCGAATAATTTTGGAAGGAAGTGGCACAAGACAACTCCTTTCATGTGCTTCAATCAAAACCCACACCCCTCGTTCCTCACCCCGGAAATCACCAAATCCGCCCCGCGATCCCCTAAACCCTAACCCCTAAATCCTAACCCCTAAACCCTAAACCCTTAAACCCTAACCCCTAAACCCTAAACCCCCACAAAGTCGCGAAGCGACCCGGCCGGCGCCTGCGAAGCGAAAGAGTCGGTTGCCAAGGCCACGGCAGGCCCTCGTCCCAGCACCGCCTGTGACGTGGCTGAGCGTGTAGGCTTTAGGACTATGCGCACCATATAACGGTTTAGGCTTTAGGGTTTAGGGTTTAGCGATGCATAATTCATAATGGTGCAGCAGTGGCAGAAAGCAGCAGCAGTAGCAGCAGCAGTAGCTGCAGCACGAATCTCAGCAGCAAGCTGCGAAGTTGCATCCCCACAGTCCATGCTGTGCCCGGTGAAACCCTAAAGCCTAAACCCCTAAACCCGTAAACCCCTAAACCCCTAAACCCTGAACCTGCCAGGTGGCAGGAGCCTGCTCTTCAGGCTTAGGTGCATCCAGCAATCGTGGTCCTTCTGCCTCTCCGTCCTGCCAGGGGTGGGGTGGGGTGGGGTGGGGTGGGTGGGGGTGGGTGGGTGGGTGGGGGTGGGTGGGTGGGGAAAGAGCAGTCCAAATCGGACCTGGCAAGGATCTCTATACGTAGATCCTGTATACTCTATACTGCAACGAAGTCCTATTGCCAAATCCTAGCATGCTGAGCGCTGCAACTGCAGTCTCACGATCCTCTGTCCGCTCTATGGCTCCAGCATGTGTTGATGGTAAGGTTCGGGCACAGCTCAACCTTCCAGAACACGACGATTTACACGTAATATAGGGGGCCTAAATAAGTACCAACACTATTTTCTGGGGTTCCATATTATCCATCTACAGTTATTTTGGGCCCCGGAACCCTATTCTAATTGTCAAGGCCTGCCCCTATACTAGACACGGCGCCCCCTGTAGCACGGTCCTCTGGCACAGGAGACATCGGCGCAGCAACTGCCAAGATGCGAGACGGAGAAAGAAGCCGACTTGTTGCAAAAAACATGTGTATATATATATATGTGTAAATATATATATGTACATATATATATATGTAGATAGAATACTTATATATATATATGTACATAATTATGCAATTATAAGTGTGTGTATATATATATATATATATATATATATATATATATATAGCAAGGACAAGCCTGCCGATCGACCCGCTCGCGGCACGATCTTGAAGGAGCCACAGGCCTGCACCGCGCAGGACCTGAGGCAAGAGGCCTTCTCACTTCAGGGCCAGAGCAAGGGGCCCAAATAATTACCTATAATATCTGCCATGTTAGGGGAACCTTATTAAAATTATGTGGTACCTATAGTCTCCATTGTAGTTCCTTTTTTTGGTTAACCAAAATCTCTATCATAGGATCCTAGTTAACCAAAAAAGGAACTACAATGGAGACTATAGGTATATACCATGTTAGGGGAACCTTATTAAAATTCTATGGTATAATGGGCTCCACAACCCAATTCTGATTATTGAGGCCCCTATATGAAGCCTGGGGTCCCGGCTCCGGTGGGGAAGCCAGGGCTGAGAGGGAGGGAGCTACCTTCGACACCGGCAGATCCGTGGAGCTCGGAGCAGGAACTTGCCGGGGTATCTGGGCCGGCAGGGCAGCGGATGCCCAAGGCCCTGCTGTGGAGGTCACGGCTGAAGGTAAGATAGGTCGGTAAGCCATTACCGGTGTTGGGCAGAGCTGAGGCGATTGCAGGGCTGCCGGCACAGGCGACGTTGCCTGGATGTGTGGTTGTGGAGCTCCACAAAATGTTGGCACTTGGGTGCACTGGGTTGCCAAGACCCGGGGCATCGGCTGCGCCTGAAATGGTGTCGCGGAAGGCTGGGAGATCACGGGCCCTTGAACTTTGAAGGGGGCCGGCTCCACGGGAAACTGGGGCCCAGCTGGGGCGGCCATCGCAGGGCATGGAGCCGCAGCCAACGTCAGCCTGATGGAGCTTTCTAACGGGTTAGGTGTCTTGAAACTGGCTGGGACAGGGCTTGGAAGATGCGGACTGATCGATAGTATGTAGGTAACTACGAAGAAACTTCCGCTAAAGAAAGCGAAGAACACGCAGACAACTCAAACGGCAACAGGTTGTAACAACAGCATCTCGCCGGCAAAAACGATGACAGCTTCTCCTTACATTGCTGACGAACGCAAGGCTTCTGGATATGCTATTGTTCATGTCTGTTCGCCATAAAACACGGTAGCAACCCTCCTCCTGCTCCTGCTCGAGCTGTTGCTCCTGCTCCTGCTCCTGCTCCTCCTGCTGCTCCTGCTGCTCCTGCTCCTGCTCCTACGCCTCCTCCTCCACCTCCTCCGCGGCGTCCTGGGTATTTGCGCCAGCAATTGCGTCCGAGTTCTCGGATCGTCATCGCACAGAAGGCCGTCTCGACAGTGGTGTGATGGTAGTGGCAGAAACTCAATGATGACGGTGATGGGGATACTGATGGTGATCTCACAGGTACTGGCAAAACTGCTGCTGTGCGGCATCTCTCTTGGGTTTGCATTCGCAGCCCGTGGCGGCGTAGACACAGTTGCCATGGCACTGCCCTCATTGGAACGGATGTTCGCCCACTGCGCTCAGGGTTGAATTTAGGGTTTAGGGCTTTAGGGTTTAGGGATTTCTCGGTGTGTGGTTTATGGTGCTTGGGGGCTGGAATGGCTGCTGCATTCTGGGAACGAGTACTGTAAACTGCTGCATGCCCTGTTTCTTGCCGCGAGTGGCAGCGTCTCTATGCCAAAAGCTGAGAAAGAACTAGAGAAGGACGGACAAAGAGGGATAGCATGTAATCAAGACATAGCTATGAACCAAGAATGCAGTATTCTGCAAGCATCTTGACTACAACAAGGCTTCCGTCCACTTGCTTCATTGTCTGAGAACCCATTTTTTCGCAGGGTCGCGAGTTTGACACTCCTGTCTTCGCACGAATGCTAGACCACCGGCCATCCTGCACGTTCACGACCTCTTGCTTGCGATGTCCCTGTCCATGTGTGCTTGCTACTTGGAGGTTCATGGGTAGTTCTAACTAAGTGGAGTTACAAGTCCCCTGATATGAGTGATAATTAGAGTTACCCTAATTTATAACTCCTCTTATTAACTATACCCATGAGGCTGGTAGTAGAATCTGCAAAGATTCGCGGAGGCCAGTCAGCTCCGAACGGTGAGGTCAGCGACAAAATCCGCATATGTGTACTCGGTCGTGTCCTTGTCGCCTGGCCACTTCCAGGTACAGGGTTCAGGGGTTGAGGGGTTTAGGGTTTAGGGGTTTAGGGGTTAGGGGTTTAGAGTTTAGGGGTTTAGGCTTCACCAGCCTCTTCAAACACCTAGAGCACCAAAGTTTAACAACTGGACAAACAGTGTCGCAGCACAAAGGCAGATGCGTTGACTTCAACACTTTGTGGACTAAGCTGCAGCCAGAGGATCAATTGTACCGCACGTTCGTCGGACCCGGCGGCATGTAGAGGATGCCAAGCCCATCAATGAGCTGCTCGATGACCTTGACGACGATGGTAACGAGCAAAATGGCAAATTTGTTGCTACTTAGGCTTATGCGAGCTACGAACCCGAGAGGCAGGAAAACGATGAAACGATGAGGACGATGTGGATGGCGATTGACATGATGATGGCGGTGGCGTGGCGCTGGCGGCGGGGGCGGTGGCGGTGGCGGCCGGCGGCGGCGGTCGTGGCGGTTGGTGTTTACAGGAACCCTAGGATTTATATCATCAACCCTAGGTTTTACCGCCCGCCTCCGCAGCTCCGTCCAGGCGATCTTCCTGAGGTACTCGGTTTGTATCGCCAGCAAGGATAATCGAAGTGCCACGGTACTGCTCCTTGGGCAGCAAAACTGTATATATATATATACATTCATTCATACATACATACATACATACATACATACATACATACATATATATATATATGTATCTATATATATATATATATGTATATATATATATAGGCCTACTTGATAATATACATAAAAGTGTATAAGTGTAAGCTGCAGCCTGAGAGATTTTGAGCCGAGGCTCCTTGCAGAACGCGACGATGCCTTCCAAATCCTTCCTCGTCTGCCTCACTGCTATAGGTTTAGGGTTTACTCTGAGGGTGGCTCCAATCACTGGGCCCACCGGGAACCCGAAATTTCTCTGACCCGTACCTGTATTGTTGTAGGGAGTCCGGGCACGCAAAAAGCGCACTCCCAGGGTCACCATTTTGTAAATTTTACATTAAGGTGTATAGTAACAACCTACAAACTTACAAAATCTCCGCAGAGGTAGGTTTCGGTCCGCTTCGGTGGTCTACAGTAGAATCTTGACCTCGGCGTCACAGTGGATCGAACCGGGGCCCCGGGCTTCGACTCCCTGGTGTCATAGCCATCGAAGGTCAGGTGCACGTTCCTATACTGAACTTAGAACCCTAGCAAACATTATAATTTTGGCTGTTCCTTAGGGATTATAATTACAAAAATGAAGAAAGTATTTCTAAGTGCCCCTAAGGTTCAGGATCACGGCATTCAGCGCAGGAACCCGTACTGCGTGAACTTTGCCTCTTCTCTGCAGACGAAAAGGAGTTTTGCTCTGTCTCTATCTACTCCCTGGACCAGGCGTCTGCACGACTGATACCCAAAGTAGCCCAACGCATCTGAATGCCATCTACCCTACAATCTGAACCGTTAGCAGAGGACGTTTAGCAAAGCGTGCTTCCAAGGCACTCTTCATTCGCGAAAGACGTGGAAGAGCTATGGGAAATGCTTCCCTGCTGCGATCCCGCACGACAGTAACAAACTCTCCCTCCTGGGTTCAGGGTGTAGGGTTATGGTCTAGGTCTCTTGGGTTTAGGGTTCGAGCGTGGCCAGCACGCTTTTGACTCTGCAAAAGCAGCGGGGAGGACTCTGCGCTCAAAATGAGATTGGAGGGGGCTTCTTACGCCTACCCTATCATCTTCAAGTCATCTTCATGGGTCCTTATAGCAAGGAACATTAAGTGCCCGGGTTGTTTTTTAACCCCCGACCTGAAAGATAAGATAGTCCTGCTCTTGCAGTGATGCCAGCATTTGTGGCAAGGCTTCGTGTCCAAACTCGTTCCGCCACACATTGGCGTTCTCCTTGTCACCCCAAGTTCAGACAACAGCACTAGTGGCAGCAGTATACTTACTTAAAATTTGGGAATTGCTTCCGGGTCAGCCTGGACACATTAAGCTGGCATTGCACTAACCCCCCCCCCCTCCACTGACTCTCAAGTTTCTGCAGTTGCACAAACCTGACAATTCAATGTCATTTCTAGTATCTGATGATAAGGTAAACCTGATTCCGCACCTGAATCAAGATCACGTCGGGCTCATGGGCCCTGGAAAACGCTTTGACGTTGTCGGAGATGCGCGCTAGCCGCTCCAAATAGGCAGCCTGGAGAAGATCTCGGATCGTTCAGATACTGTCAACTCTCTCAAGCCGTCGAAGGCAAACTGTAATCCTGTAAGAGTCAAGTTACTGAACCCACCGGTATCTCTGGACCAGGAGTGTGGCACAAGACTGCTCTGGAGAATCCAGGAGGTTTGCCAAGCTTAAGTTTAAGCTTTGGCATCACAAACCAGCCCAGGGCTGCTGTTGGGGAATCTTACAGTTGAAGCCAGAAAGTTGGAATATCATTATCGTAACCCCTTTAAGGTAAATTATAGGGGATCCTACCATTAATCCATATTCCAACTTTCTGGAGTTCCCTTTAAACTGACAAGATGGTCCCACTGACAGGACCTGAAAGGGTGTGGTAGGTTACTGGGCGGATCCATCATCATCGTCGTCCTGCTGATGGTGGTGCTGCTGCCGTCGTATCCTCCTCCTGTCCCTCCGTTCGTCATGGTAGTTGCGCGTCCTCGCTCATCAGTGACATCGTGGCCGTGTCGCCATCGCCGCTGTCTCCCCGGTCGTTGAGCCATTCATGAAGCAATGGCAACCTCCCTGACCGTTCTGGTCATGGCGATGAGGATGATGACCATGATGATGATGATGATGAAGATGATGATGATGATGATCGGGATGCTCAGCATGGGACGACATCAATGCGGAGATGCTGAACATGGTCGCCATCGTATTAGTCATAATCATCATCATCACCATCATCATCATAACTGTCATCAGAAGTATCATCATCGTCATCATCATCATCACAATGCTACAACAAACCCTCGCACCAGCATCAGCCACAACGAACAATGTCTGCCATGCCTCGGACTCAGACCGCCGATTGAATCCATCGTAGGGAAACCCCCAGCGTTCATTGAATCCGAACCTGCGCCGGGCAAGCGAACAGGAAGTGCGCACGTCGATATGCAGGTCGCTATGTGAGTCGGTAATAGACAAGTGGATCCACCGGTAGATGGATGGACACACAAAGAACGATAGGAGCGGATCAGGTACGATGAAGTAAGTAGAGCAAGATGCTTTCGCTTTCAGATTCTTGCTTCAGCACTCACCTATAGGCACGACCTCACCAAGCTTACTCACTCACTCCGTTACTCAGTGACTTGTTTGCTTACTTGCTTACTCACTTACTCACTCACCGACGTGTTTACTTACCTGCTAACGGACCGAATAACTCAGCTACTTTCTTGCCGACTTGCCTGCTTGCTTGATTACACATACTGACTGGCCGACTGACTAACTGACTGGCGTACTCACTTGCTTGCGCTTTTCCCCCTTCGCCGGACGACTGCCATGCCTGCTCCAAGCATGTTTCTACTTGTGCTGGTTGATTCTAGTTTCGGTGCGAGTGCCTCTTCTCGTAAGCAGACTGTAGAACCAACCATACACCTTGATATACCCAGACGCTCACATGTACATGCATAGGCACATGCGCGGAGACATAGATAAGTCTACATAAACAAGCTACACAGCTACACATCTGCGGCATCACTGGGTGGTCGGTTGATGTCTCTGTTCACACCATCAGGTTCAAACACATGATAGGCCCGCTCGATCCTCTACCATGCTTCGGCACACTTTGGGTTCAGGAGCAGCCGGTGCTTTTAGTCTCACAAGTCGCGGAGTGCGGAAATGTTGGCGTCTTCCCTTGCAAAGCCTGGTTGACCCTCTTGACCTCTGAAACACTCTCTGAGCGCCGGGCTTGCACAGTATGTTCCACGACACCAAAACAAGGCTGCCGCCTCCACGTCAGGGGTTTTTTGAAGACTTCTACAGGCTTCGTAGATGCGGACTGGACTGCGAGCGGGTGTGCACCACAGCTGTCTGCAGCAGTGCGTTAGACGAGCTTTGGCTTTTGATTTCTCGTAGAAAGCTTGGTTGAACAAGTTCCTGCTCTCTCATCCAACCCTAAACCCTAAACCGTCTCACCCAATCTTTTCATTGCTAATATATTTAGGATGCTAGGGGTCTTCAACCCCACCTTAGCTCGCCTGGCTGTTCCAATCGACAAAGCAGAGCATTGTGGTCAGAGTCGCTTGCCCTCTTGGGGTCCACAAGCTCTCCGATAAACTCGAAACCTCGGCGAGGCAAGGAGTGACGATATGAAAAGCATTTAGGTTTTAGGGTCTTGGGGTTAAGGCGGTTCAGGGCAGAATCTATACCCAAACTTATGCTAAAACCATACCCTGTAGCCCTGAACACTGAGCCCCAAAAACCCTAAAGCCCCGACTCTAAATCGGACTATACCCGAACTAAACACCTTCAACCCCACACCCTTAAGCTCTAAACCCTGAACACCTAAAACAAAAGATATGCAAAAAAAAACTTCAAAAGCATTTAAGCGCCGCTGAGACGCCTGGCGCACTCGCGGGCGCAGCTCGTTTCGAACCGCCGGCTGCCATGGCGCGCTTTGCGCCACGAGCCGCTCAAAGGGTGGATTTGGGATTAGAGGGTTTAGGGTTTCGGGCTTAGGGTTTAGGGGTTCTGGCTTGTGGCCTGGGGTTTTGGGTTGGGCAAGAGCATTGGTGGTCCTGTTTCGGTCAGTACTGATGCCTGAGAACCAGCCCCCTGCAGAAAGGTGCTTCCCTGCATAGCTGGACAGACTATCAGAGAAATTGGAAACTGTGGGGACCTTAAGCAACTATTCAGGAGGACATCTAATAAGCTGTCCCGCCGCTTTCCGCGAAAATTTTGACGTGCTATGACAGACTTGCTGACCTAGTACTTGTAGACTTGCTCCGGCTATGATGCAAAAAGCCATGATCTTGGAAGACTCGTCGACTGGTCGCAGGACAGTCATCACAAGCATGTGCGATACGGATCGCAAGAACCAGGTATCGTCATGATGATCCCTTGACATGCCAATCCAGAGCACCATCGTGGCCAACACCAGTTTGAATCCATTAACCTTATCACTGCATCACTGTGACACTACTTGGGACGAGTACGAACAGCATGACTGTGGTCGTTGCTTATGCCTATAAGTCGTCATCACTCTGATTGACGCGAACAACTTTGACTTGCCTCCCCTGAAAAAACAAGAAAAGCAGGAGCGGCGGCAGTAAAAAGAAGTCGTCGTCGCGGCAGTGGTAGTGGCGGCAGCAGCAGTGGCAGCAGCGGCAGTAATTAGCAGTAGGAGTTGGAGGTGGGCCAGGAGTAGCAGCAGCAGTAGCAACAGGAGTTGGAGTCGGAGTTGGAGTATATAGAAGAATGAGGAGGATGAGGAGGAGGAGGAGGAGGACTAGCAGTGGTCGTTGACATGGTTGTTGTTGTTCGTTGCTGCTGGGAGAAATAGCACGAGTTGGCGATGGCTTCGTCGTGCGGGTACTCGTACTACTATGCCCCACACTACCTCTGCCACTGCTGCTGCTACTACTCCGACAACGATCACGAAAGGATGGTATTCACACTTAGCCTACAAACATACAAGCGCTTAGGGTACGAAGCAACGCCCAGAGCCCTGCAAACGAGCTTTTCATGCTGAAAGCGATCGGAGAGATTCTGCCAAGACTGGGGAGGTGGTGCCTCGCTCGCAGGTGCGACTAACAAAAATCATAATAGTCATAATCATCAGAACTTGTACTAGTTAGTGTTACCAGTACTACCATTTGTATTCTTACTATAACCCTTTTAAAGGTATCTCAACGGATCTCCAGACTAACCGAAGGCACCTTTACAGGTCTCAACCCTTCACGAAGCTCTGGCTCCACGCGACACCACCAGTAGTCTTTCCTGGAAGCCAAGCAGCATTGCCATGTCCCACTCTTCACAGCAGCCTCTCCCTGCAGGCCACAAGAAGAGGCAGTGGGAAAGCCAGTCTGCAAAAGCTTCGCCAAACACTACTTTAGGGGCCGTAGTAGTTAGAATGGTGTTTTGGGGCCGATTCTACTACAACTATAATAAAGACCCCCCAAAATAGTATCGGTAATTATTGTTGAGGTCCTGTGGTAGCCGTAAACCCCGAAGCAAAACAGTGCTGAGCCTTTGCGACTTGTCCAGCAAGCTGACGTCCTCGGCCTCCGCCAGAGCTGCATGAAACGATGTTTTCGACCCAAACCAAAAGCCTTGAGACATATAATTTGGGGGCCTTAATAATTAGAATGGGGTTTTGGGGCCCATTATACTCTAGCAAAACTGAGGAACCCCCAAAATAGTATTGGGAATTATCAAGGCCCCTATGTTAAACTCTGAACCTCCAAGTCTGCAGGAAAGGCTGTGCCGTTGCACCTCCAGATTCTCCAACTCCAGGATGGCGCTCTGTTCAGCCGCCTGCTTTTGGATAATGTAGCCTTGGCATACTCGGACTCGACATCACGCTTCGTGCTCCACATGCCACGATAGCTCATAGGGTTGGTGGAAATACAGGAGCCATGACGTAGTGGTTAGTAGTAGTAGTAGTAGTAGTAGTAGTAGTAGTAGTAGTAGTAGTAGTAGTAGTAGTCGTGGTCGTCGTCGTAGTCGTAGTCGTCGTCGTAGTCGTAGTCGTAGTCGTAGTCGTAGTCGTAGTCGTAGTGGTAGTGGTAGTGGTAGTGGTAGTGGTAGTGGTAGTGGTAGTGGTAGTGGTAGTGGTAGTGGTAGTGGTAGTGGTAGTGGTAGTGGTAGTGGTAGTGGTAGTGGGAGTGGTAGTGGTAGTGGTAGTGGTAGTGGTAGTGGTAGTGGTAGTGGTAGTGGTAGTGGTAGTGGTAGTGGTAGTGGTAGTGGTAGTGGTAGTGGTAGTGGTAGTGGTAGTGGTAGTGGTTAGTAGTAGTAAGGGAAAGGGAGCAGGAGCTGTAGCAGCACCAGCAGCAGGAGCAGTAGCTTTAAGCGGTAGCAGTGCAGGGTAGCTACAGCAGCCGCAGCAGCAGTAGAAGTCGTGGTGCCAGTATAGTAGCAAGAGTAGTAGTAGTAGCAGCAGCAGTAGCAGTGGCAGTGGCAGTGGCAGTGGCAGTGGCAGTATTAATAGCAGCAGCTGAACTAGTAGCAGTACAAGCAGCAATAGAAGCAGAAGTAGCAGGAGCAGGAGCAGCAATACCAGGAGCAGGAGCAGGAGATGGTAGGAGCAGTAGAAAAAAGCTGCTCGGGCTAACTCGGAGCTAACCATAACACCCTCTACTTGATGTCGGGACCTAGGCTTTGGCGGGGCAGGGGGGGCATAAACCCCTGAAATACCCGTACCCCGAGCCCCGCCTCTGAACAGCCAAAAGGTATGTTCAAGCACCTCCTCAAGAACAGCACCAAGGAGTCACCGCAACCACAAGAAGAAAGGCCCTCCGAGATGCCTAAACCCCTAAACCCTGAAGCCCTTAAGGCCTAAGCCCTGAAGCCCTTAAGGCCTAAAGCCTAAACCCCTAAGCCCTAAAGCCCTAAACCCCTAAACCCTAAAGCCCTGAAGCCCTAAAACCTCCAAACCCTAAACCCCAAAGCCCTGAAGCCCTAAACCCCTAAAGCCCTAAACCCCTAAACCCTTAAAGCCCAAACCCCTATGACCCTCCAGAGATCTACTGGGCTACTACTACTACTACTACTACTACTACTACTACTACTACTACTACTACTACTACTACTACTACTACTACTACTACTACTTGCGAAGCGAGCTGCTGGCCAACCTCTGTGGGAGAGCCACGACAACACAAAGCAATGGCCTGAGGCTCTACGGCCCCTACTTGGAGGTTCCTTTAAGGGGATCTATGGCGGTCGCTTTAAAGGGATCTATAGGGATTCTATAAGGGTATAGGGTTTAGGGTTCATGGGTAGTTATAAATAGAGTTATAAGTCCCCTAATATGGGTCATAATTATAGGGCTCTAGGGGCCTTCATGGAGTTTAGGCCTAGGGGTTTAGGGGTTTAGTAGGGTTAGGATGGGGGTTAGGGTTTAGGGGAACTCTTGGAGCCTTCATTGGGCCTAGGGTCTTGGGCTTTAGGGATTAAGGGTCTTTAGCGTTTGGGGTTTACGGTTTAGGGTTTAGGTTTGCGGGCTTTAGGGATTAAGGGTCTTTAGGATTTAGCAGTTCAGTGGTTTAGGGGTTTAGGGTTGGAATAGGGGGTTTGGGGCATCGCGCACTACTGCCGATAGTTCGACCCACTAGCTTGAACAACGAAGTCGACCCATGCCCCAAACCCCACTTGCCCCCAGACTCCTGACACAAGTGAGCCTTGGGGAATCCTCCACACTGAACAACTTTATTTTACATGTTTATCACTTTCAAGCACTCCGCCACTCCGCAAGAGTCTGTTACATGATAAACGCCTCGGTAGCTCAAGCCCCTCGGCTCGGGGGTGTATAACTTTGAGCAGTCAGAGGCACAGTATTGGTAATTACTCAGGCCCTCTGCTACCATCAACGGCTTTGGGCTTCGCTCTGGCGTGTAAGGGATCGGCTTTTAGGTGAAAACCTATGACAGTTATTTGTCAGTGGGATGCAGGCCGGAAGGTGAGGTGAGAAGGCAAAATCACGCACAACCTCGCTTGTGAGGTTTGAGCAATTGCAGGGTTCGAAACGAATCAAGAACGAAACCCTAAACCCCAAACCGAATCAAGAACGAAACAGCGGCAAGAACGACTCGCGACTCAAGGCCTCGAGGGGCAAAGGACCGTCACAGACCACAATCCCCAGTGCTCCGAGCAATGACCTCGAAAACGGCACCTGTTTAGTAATATGGGGACCTTATAGCGCTTAATAACACGACATTATTTAAAAAAACAAAATCTGATAACGAGCCCGAAGCAACACGATCTACCCTAAACCCTAAATCGCAAAATTCACGCTAAACCCTATGTAAACCTCTGCCGCCCCACCAAAACGAAATCTTCGATCCCTGACAGTGTTGACACCCGCGTCCAGCACCGAAATTCTGAGGACGCCCACCCGGCAAAAGGATTCAAAATAAGGCGGAGGGTTTCGTGTGTAGGGTTTAGGAGCAGGGTTCCTTGCGTTTATGGATTTGGCGTTTAAGGGCTACAGCAGGAAAGAACTTCAATGTCTCCAAGGAGCAGCGACAGAACAAAGGCCACCAAGATTGGAAGCCTGTCGGGAAGCGGGGCCACTATACGATAAATATAAAACAGGAACCCCCAAAATAGTATGACCCGTAGCACACCCAATCGTAGCATTAGTCGTTCTGTGAATACCTGAGAAAAGCCGTCCCCAGGCCTTTAAGGGATTCTTTAAAGGTTCAGGGTGTAAGGTTTAAGTTACCATAATAGGGATCTATGAGGGTTCCTTTAAGGGATCCTTTACGGGTGGCAAGCACGCAGGTTGCGAGCACTCTCTCAGAAGCATTTTCTGTGCTTGAGTGGGGTCTTGCTCAAAGTCTGCCTCCAACCAACCCCATCAAGTTACTGATGTCGTCTTCGGCGGGAAAGTTCTTGTCGAAAGCCACATGGTGAAATAAGATATTTGCAGATTGAAAGTGGCCAGAGTGAACAGCGCAAACAAAGGCCAACGCTGGTGGGCTGACGCTGCCAGCTAAGCCCGTATCGCCCAGCGTCTGTAGCAGCAGACTCATGATTTCTATGTCGCCTGTGTGGGATGCACTCGCCAGAATTGTCAAGCGGGCGTGGTCTGCGAGATTTTCACTGGCTCCTGCCTCCAGCAGCATCTCAATCATCCGTCCGTCGCCACGTCTGGCTGAGTTCATGAGCGATACGGCTGTTCCGTCGGCTAACGGAGCCCACCTCCCAGTAGCTCGCTGAGCCTGCTGCAGCAGGCGCGCAATTTCAGTCTGTCCGTTGTCGACCGCACAAGTCAGTGCTAAGCCGCAGTCGCAGGCCCAGCCCCTGTCAGCCAGAAAATCCAACAGCACACGAACGGTCCTTTCATAACCCCAACATGTGGCACAAAAAAGGGCACTTGGAACGAGCTTGCATAGCAGCTCTTCATCAGCCTGGGCCTCCAATAAGAGGTGTACAGTCTGCACATTTCCCTGGTTCGAAGCGGCTATGAGCGCAGTCCCCAACTCTCCTACATTTCCAACGAACTCACGGCCCGGATCCGCTGCCAGCAACCTATGGTTCATGGTTGGGATAGGATTAGAAATGTGCAGTTTTAATCCTTATTGGGTTTAAGTACCCATATGGAACAAAATGTTACCCAACTATGACGAAGCAACAAGCGGACAATTTCAACATGGCCACGGCACGAAGCGCAGACTAGGGCAGTAATGTCGATGGGGTTCGCGGCATTCTTCGCCGCCCCGAAATCTATAAGTAAAGTAGCTATCTCCATGTGCCCCTTGGAAGATGCCCAGAGAAGTGAAGTCAAGCCACATTCATCAGGTAAATCTTGGAGAGCCCCGCAGTGGAGCAAGTAACGAACGGCTTGGAGGTGGTCAAATTCAGTTGCGATGCAGAGGGGAGGGCCTCCGTTATGGGCCAAGTTCTTATCAGCCCCGGCATCCAGTAGAGCGCGAATTGCTTCGAGATGTCCGCTTTCACAAGCGCAGCCTAGGGCTGTCTCCCCTGGGGTTCCAAAGATTGTGCACACGTGATTCGTGTCTGCCCCTGCTTCGAGCAACAAGTGAACGATATCTGCGGACCGTCCACTGCAAGCAACGTTGAGAGATGGACCCCGCAATCCATCAACATCTTCGTAGAAGTTCGGATTGGCTTTGGCCTCCAACAAGAGGGAGACCACCTCCATGTGGCCTTCCAGTGTTGCCAAGACCAGAGGTGCTTCCAACTCTACGGCGTCGACGACCCCAAGCCGATTGGGATCCTGTGGGCGCTGAAGGGTTCCGGGTTTCAGAGTTTTGGGCCAGTTTCGGGTTTAGGGCCCCTAAACCCTAAACCCTGCTTGGGATCCTGTGGGCGCTGAAGCATCCCCTCGACGTCAGCCTGGCGGCCACCGCGAGCTGCCTCGGCCAACTCCTGGGTTCTTGTTAAGGGATGTAAGTTTAAGTTACACTAATGATGAACCATCTTATTTGCTATAGATCCCTCTTATGGCAACTCAACTTAAATTCCTTAACAAGAACCCAGACTCATCCATCTGCTCTTGTGTGGATTCGGCAAAAGGCAGGAGCACAAGGTTGAAGTCCATTGGGTGGTCGATCCGAAAGATATCAGGCAAGTCCGAGCCGGCATGCAGGAGTCGCTGCCTGAAGCGGCTCGTCCCACAGACGGGGCAAAGGCGCATTTTCAGGCTCTTCACGTCAGGCACTTCATCCACCGGGACAGCAGCCAACTCGGCTCCAGAAGACAGCCAGACACGCAACATGGCTGTCCCTTCCAACTGACCCGTATCGAAAGCAAACAACCTTCACCTGAGGCTGCGGATAAACAGTTTGGCATCCACAAATCCTGTTTGCACTACTCCTACTTCTGTTACATTCATCGTTCTAGCTATGACTGTCACCAACAATACTACTTTTGTTATTCAGGCTGCTGTTCCTCCTCCTCCTCCTACTTCAACTGCTTTTGCTGCTGCACGACTGCGACTACTGGTACTGCTAGTACTACTAATCTTCCTGGTACTGCTGCTGCTAAGGCCACTACTACGACTACTACGACTACTACGACGACTACGACGACTACGACGACTACGACTACGACTCCTACGACTAATACGACTACTACGACTACTACGACAACGACTGCTGCTGCTACTACGACGACGACTACTACTACTACTACGACGACGACTACTACTACTACTATTACTACTACTACTACTACTACTACTACTACTACTACTACTACTACTACTACTACTACTACTACTACTACTACGAATACGAATACGAATACGAATACGACTAGTTACTACGACTACTGCTGCTGCTACTGCTACGACAACGACAACTACTGCTACCACTACTACTACTACTACTACTACTACTACGACGACGACGACGATTATTACGACGACGACGACGACGACGACGACTACTACTACTACTACAAGTACCGCTACTACTGCTACTACTGCTACTACTGCTACTACTGCTACTACTACTACTACAACAACTACCACTACTACTACTACTACTACTACTACTACTACTACTACTACTACTACTACTACTACTACTACCACTACCACTACCACTACCACTACCACTACCACTACCATTACCACTACCACTACCACTACCACTACCACCACTACCACAACTACCACCACCACCACCACCACTACTACTACTACTACTACTACTACTACTACTACTACTACTACTACTACTACTACTACTACTACTACTACTACTACTACTACTATGTAAGTAGTCCAGTAGTGGTACTAGTACTAATACTGGTACAAGAATAAGTACTGGTACTAGTACTACTGCTGCTGCTACCGCTACCGCTCAAAGCTACCGCTGAAAACTACAGCAAATATGTTGAGTTCGGCAGTGCTCGAGTGCAAGCGCACGTGTATGTCTGCTTATGTCGCTGTGTACAAACAGGGTAACAAACAAAGAAATAAACTAAGAAATCTATGTGATTGTAATGCATATGAAAGCGTGTACATATACATATACATATACATATACATATACATATATATATATATATATATATGTATGTGTATATATATATATAAGCAGAGTGATGCTCCAATAGCTCCGTGATTCCGCGAGATCCCTCTCTGTGCCTGGAATGGAGCTGATCTGTTTGGCCGGGAGCATTTCCGGAAGCACTGAAAGCCTCGCACACCAAATTTTGCTGATGGCTGATGGGTGCTGCAGCAGAGCAATACGGAGCAATTACGCAAGATGTATACCTAGACACGAAAATTAGAAAGCCCAGGCCACAACTCAAATCCCAAACTCCTAAACTCGAAGAGCGTATATCCAAAACCAAACTCTAGAAATCAATGTCCGAAACTAACGAACTCACTACAGTCCTAAAGCCTGCTTCCTAAACTCCTCAATCCTATATGCCAAATCAAACTCCTACACCCTGCCTCCCTAATTTCCCAGAACCTAAACCCTAAATTTCCAAATCCGATACTAACCCGTCCCTACACTCCTGCACCCTATATGTGCTAAACCCCGATCCTGAACCTCTAGCCGGCCTTTTCACGCCCTTCTATCCTGGAAGATAACAACCCTTACGGTCGCCCCAGTAATCGTCCCTTGTAGTAATCCTTAAACCATAACCCCTAAAGCCCTTCTTTCCCTCCTGGAAGAGGAAGCTGAAGATCAAAGGCCCCAGTGACTCCGCAATGCTCTTTCCGGTTGTGAGGGCACCTCAAAAGCTTCGGCGTGTCAGTGGGTTCAGCGTTTAGGGCTTAGGGCGCGAAAGTCTAATGCCTGAACCCCAAACCCTGACCCCCGAACCCTAAACCAGGGTTTTGGGGCTTCGGGTTTTCAGACCTCGTTTGTGAAAAAGGGGTTTCGGGCCTCTAGTGAAGTGCTGAAGCTTTCAGGAATCTGGGTTTGGGTTTTCAGAGTTTGGGAGTTTACGCCTATGTTGAGGCTTGCAGATTGGGTTTCAAGCCTTCTTCGGGCTCATGGGGCTTTAGAGTCTTAGGTTTTAGGGATCAGGCTTTCTGGCTCAAGGCTTACGGCCAAGGTTCAGGGCTTAGGGAGTCAAGGCTTCGGAGTATTCGGATTTGGGGGTTAGGTTCTGAAAGCTTTGGGGGGGAAGGGTCTTGGTAGTTCAGGGTAGAACATGCAGCATAATGATACACTGCATACCCAGAACATCCCGCTACCCGAAACCCTTACAGAAAAAGATCAGCAAAGCAAAAATCATCAATTCATCATCATCATCATCATCAACTCATCATCATCATCATCATCTTCATCATCATCATCATCGTCATCTGCTTCTTTGTCTTCGTCTTTCCATCTTCTGCTAACATGAAGCCCTCAGAATTGGAAGTGGCTTCTCTGGTATGTATTAAACTACCTATAACTATTGAGACTGCCCGAGGAATGATACTTGTTATTCAACACCCAAATAACGAGAGCTAAGAGGCTTCTAACTTCAGGCCTAGGGCATGGATTCACAAGTGAAGCCAAGTCGCCCTGCAGCTGCCCTTGCCTTGCTGGGCACTCTCTGGAGGCATTTGTAAGGGTTTAGGGTTTAGGGTTTCGGAGAGTATTATCGGGGTACGAGGAGGGTACGATGCATGGAGGTGCTGCGAGTGCACCACGAGGGTAAGGTAAGGGTACTCTGAGGTACTCTAAGGCTTCACATCATATCACATCTCTTCAAGCCCCTACTTTGACCGCCCAATCGCAATCTTCTCATATGCAGTGCTCGGCAACTTTTGTTCTGGATGGTGAACCTTAACCCTCTCAAGCCTCAACCCTAACCCAGAAAGCCTAAACCCTAAACCAAGACACCAAAAACCCTCTCCAGCTTCTGCCCTATGAGTCCCCTCAGGCAAAGAGCTCGCTCTCCGCCACCAATCGGCTCTTGATGGCAGAGGTGGCAGGAAACGCCAAGGCCTGGGGCCCCAAAAGTACCTGAGGCTGGGCCCTTCTTAAGGAATTTAGGGTTCAGGGTTTAGGGTTTAAGGAAGCTAGGGATCTCTATAGTAGACAGGATCAAACTGTTGATGGGCAAAATCCTGCATGTCCCTAAGGATTCTAAACCATGGGAACTATGGTATATTCCTTATAATGGGTAATGCAGGATTTTGTCCATCAACAGTATGAGAATTATAGTAAAGAATACCGTCATATTGAGGATCCTACTAAAGCTTCATACTAATCTCTCTGGTAGATAGTATCATATTAGGGATCCACGACATTTAGGGATTTTTCATTAGTAGATAAATATCATCTTCGGGATCTATAGTTTCAGGTATATTCCTGAATTGAAGGATGTTGGAAGGATTGCTTAGGCCGCAAAGCTACCGGGGCTTATCATAAGTCGGAGCCGTGGATTTCGAGTTGCGCTTGCATCTCGGGGTTGAGAGGCCATACTATAGGGGCCTTAACGATTAGAATAGGGTTTTGGGGCCCACTATACTACAAATATGATAAGGAACTCCGCAAAACCCTATGTCTATTCTAATTATTCAGGCCCCTACATTAGATCCTCTTTAGCTCCTGGGCCTTCACTTCTTGTCATTTAGATGTACTCCTGTCGGAAAATCCGAAAAAGCCGGAAACGCTACACAACAGACGACAGACCGCGGCTTTTGGATGTCGGATAATATAGGGGTCTGAACAATCAGAAACCGGATCCCTGTAGGGCTTGTAGGGTTTAGGGTCCCCGTCATTGTAGGCTTCCCTGTCACGCTTCAGGGACCTGCCTGTCTGCAGCTGGGCTGCCGCGTTCAGGAGATACACATGCCATGCCTCCGTGACGAAGGCGAAGCAGAGCATGTACAGAGCACCCGCAAAGAGAGCCAAGCCTGCGGGTGGTGCTTTTGTCGGTCTTATAGGGCCCTAGAGCCTCGGGATTTCGGGAGCTTAGGGTTTATGCGATATGTAATTTGTGATGTATGGTTAAGAAGGTAAAAGATATAACATATACATTGCAGAATACGAAATACATGGCATTTTCCTAGACAATATCTACAATGCTATTGGTGGTTTGTTCAAGCTACGCCCCGCCTAGGGTGCCCACATCTCCCGCGATCCGTGTCGTGAAAGAGAGGCCCACTCCGGCCCAAGCCACGCTGGAAGCCATAGCAATGGCTATGGCGAAGTTGTTGCAGGATTTCGGCCAGTGCACGTAGGTCCTCAGCTGCGGCGCCGTGCTTTTCAACGAGCTTCTCTTCAGTATCCCAGATGATGCTTCTTGCGAAAGAGCCGCTGCATAATACAGGGGCCTTGATAATTAGAATAGGGTTTAGGGGCCCATCATCCTACTATAGTTTTGAATAGGAAGCCCCAAATAGTACAGACTATTTTTTAGCCCCCTATAGTAATTCTTCCCAAGCAGTCATCTTTTAGAAGCTCTCTGCGTCAGGCAAGCATCTGCAGAAAGCTTGTGCTGACCCGCTGGAAACCGTTGCCAATGAAAGTGCTGCCGATGACCTGGCACACATCGCTCCACGACTGTGCAGTGAGCCATATGGGAGTTTCCGAAAATTGGGGGTACCCTGTTTTGGGGTCCTTATAATAGGGATGCTACTATTTAGGGAACTATATTAGGGTCCCCTATTTTCGGAAACTCCCATATTTCAGGAAAGAATCATAATGCAATGTGGAACGCTGATGATGGCCATCATTCTCACCATCACCGTCATGATCCTGGGACCCTGCAGCCAAGCGGCCAGGGTTGACAGCTGCACAAACAGCGCATTTCCTCAGAGCCAGGCATAGACTGAGGGCTACACGATGTGCATGCCACGGGCAAGCATCTTGGGATCCGACGCGCCAGGATACCTCAGCTCTCTCGAGTAGAGTTTGGGGTGCAGGATTTAGACCCTAAACCCTAAACCCAACCCCTAAACCTAAACCTTATACCCTAAACCCTTTAGGGGTCAGGGTAGAGGCTTTAGGGGAAGATTCAGGGCATAGGCGAACTCAGCCTGTTGCAACCGGCGACCTGAAGGGATCCCTGAGCTATGATGCTCTTTAAGGGGTTAGGGTTTATGGCTTAAGTTTAGGGTTTAGGGTTCAGCAGCTCCGGATCGAGCAGTTTCAAAGTAGGGTTGTGTTTACAGTTTAGAAATAACACCCACCCACCCTTAGAATCCCATAACGTCAAGGAAATACAAAGTTTCACTTCTTTCGCAGCTTGAAACCTTAAACCCTGAACCCCTAAACCCTGAACCCTTAAACTCTGAACCCTTAAACCCTGAACTTTGAAACCCTGAACTCTTAAACCCTGAACCCTTAAACCCTGAACCCGCAAACCCTGAACCCTTAAACCCTGAACCCTTAAACCCTGATCCGAAATGGCCTTGTCCACGAATTCCATTAAGGTTGGTCCGAAATGGCCTTGTCCGCGAATTCCATTAAGGTTGGTCAGTTTGGGCCTTGATCCGCGAATTCCATTAAGGTTGGTCAGTTTGGGCCTTGATCCGCGAATTCCATTAAGGTTGGTCAGTTTGGGCCTCAATCCGCGAATTTTGGGCCTTAATCCGCGAGGTCGGTTTGGGCCTTAATCCGCGAATTCCGTTTGGGCCTTAATCCGCGAATTTTTGGGCCTTAGTCCGCGAATTCCGTTTGGGCCTTAATCCGCGAAGTTTGGGCCTTAATCCGCGAGGTCAGTTTGGGCCTTAATCCGCGAATTTTGGGCCTTAATCCGCGAGGTCAGTTTGGGCCTTAATCCGCGAATGTTTGGGCCTTAGTCCACCAATTCCGTTTGGGCCTTAATCCGCGAATTTTGGGCCTTTGTCCGCGCATTCCGTTTGGGCCTTAATCCGCGAATTTTGGGCCTTGATCCGCGAGGTCAGTTTGGGCCTTAATCCGCGAATTTTGGGCCGTAGTCCCCGAATTCATTAAGGTTGGTCTGAAGGTTGGGCCTTAATCCGCGAATTCATTAAGGTTGGTAGAGAGGTGTAGGGTTTAGGGTTAGGGTTTAGGGTTTAGGGTTTAGGGTTTCGGGTTTCGGGTTTAGGGTTTAAGGTTTAGGGTTTAGGGTTAAGGTATAGGGTTTAGGGTTTAGGGTTTAGGGTTTAGGTTTAGGGTTTAGGGTAACAGAAGGGTCGATCATGTCACACGCCACACAAACACAAGTTCCTGCTTTGGAGCAAGTAACCTCGAAACCCGACAAAAAGCACGAAAACCAAACCCAGGCCCCACAGTCGACCCCTCTCCAAGGTAACCCCTGTAGATCCCTTAATGGACCTTTGAAGGGATCTGATCTCAAACGAGAATTCAGAACTCTGCCGCTCTTTCGGGGGCTTCGAGACAGGGCTCCACGTTTCCTACTAGGGTTTAGGGTTTCGGGTTTAGGGTTTAGGGTCTCGGGTTCGGGGTTTAGGGTATGAGGAATATACCATAATTCCCATAGGTCTAAGGTCATGAAGGTAATGCCGGATTTATATCATCAACCGTACCGGCCGGAAGGAGCTCTTCTATCGTTCGGCATCGGTCTGATTGTTGATACTTTGATTATTAGTTTTCGTACTTGTACTATCACTAGTATTTTTATTACGAGTCCTATTACTCTCAAAATTGAAATTCAGGATTAGGGTTTAAGGTCTGGCGGTCTGGGGTTTAGGGCCGTGTGGGAAGCGAGCTCCTGAACGGAAAGCGTGTCCTTCGCGCAGACTTCATGCTCAGCTTCGCAGCTTGGGGTGAATCCGAAACAGAAGTGCGATTCCTGAACCCCGACAGCTCCAAAATGCATGTCATGAAGCCAGAAAACCCCGGACACTGTTCATCGACATCCACCGTCCACCGACCGAGCTGCCCAGGCCCAACCCCGGGGCAGCAGCCGCACAGCTTAGCGGTTGGCGCTTGGTGGATGGTAGCGTCCTGTCACAATGACTGGGCATCGAACCCAATCACAATAACAATGGTAATAATATACCAACAAGAAATAATCATAATCAAAATTGATATACCAACAATGAAGTAATTCATGATAGTCATAATCGTAAGCATGATCTATGAACAGCAGCAGTACGCACTTGGTTCTTGGGCCCCCTGCTCAGGCAGACAGCACACCTTGGCGGCAAGAGACGCTGGGCACGTGGAAATAAGTGCGTCAGGGGGCCTGGCTTCGGTTGCTGTTAAGGTGGCGACCAGGTATGGCAGAAGGATCACGACGTAAACAATGGCCATGACGAGTACGCCTTCCGCACCGCACGAAGGAGTAGGAAGGGAGTCTCCGACCGTGAAGGCATCTGGAAACCGTCAACCCTCAACCCATCTAAACCCTAAACCCTAAACCCTAAACCCTAAACCCTAAACCCTAAACCGGTCACCCCTGGCCTGCTTTGAGGGTCAGTGCTGCGCCAATTCCAGTTCCCAACATCCTGAGTCAAAGGCAAACTGCTCCGGCTTTGAAGGGCTCCGTCCCTGTGATGGCAACTTGCCTTGGTAATGTAGGGGCCTTAATACTTAGAATAGGGTTTTGGGGGTTGCTGAACATAACTAATTATGGTATCATATACCCCCAAACCCTTTTCTAAAAGTAGCCCCCTTAAAGGAACCTTTAAAGGAACCCTATTCTAACTATTAAGGCCGCTACTTGGAGGTTCATGGGTGGTTATAAGTGGGTTATAAGTCCTCTAAGAAGGGTCATAAGTATAGTTACCTTACTTAGAACTCCACTTATAACTTTCCAAGTAGGGTAAGACTAACCAGTGGTTTCGAGGGTTCCCTTTGCTCTTGAGCTCCTTCTTTAATAGGGATTATCATCATCACTGGCTCCTTAGCTCCCCGAATAGCAATGGTTAGAAGATGTTTCTCGGCTCCTGACGTGGCGAGGAGTCCGGCGGCCATGATAAGGCCGAAAGCCACGCTGCTGTCACGAGTGTCCTGGATACGCATTTCAGGATCCCTTTCAGAGGGGCCGTTAGCGGATCCTTTAAGGGTTCCTTTAAGGGTTCTATAAGAGTTCCTTTAAGGGTTCGTTTACGGGATCTACTTTTCAAGGGTTCCGAGTGACCTAGTGTGCTGAGGCGAGTGCTTGAAGCTCTCCGGGTCCGATTCAGGGTTTTGGGGTTTTCAGGTTTAGGGTATAGGGCTTTGGGGTTTCGGGGGCTAGGGGCCTTTAGGGCTCTGGGGATTTAGGGTGTAGGGTTTAGGGCTTTGGGGTTTTGGGGTTTTGGGGCTTCAGGGTTTTAGTGTTTGGGGGTTAAGGGTTTTGGTTCCGATCCATAGTGGCTGCTAGCAAGGTAATCTCTGTCACCGGGATTTCGGAACCGGTTGCCCATGGTTGCCCGATAGAGACTCTGGCGTTCACGGCATGCGGCATACTATAGGGACCTTAATAATCACAAATACTATTGTGGGGGTTCCTTGTTTTTAGCTATAGTTTATTGGGTCCCAAAACCCTATTCCAATTAGTAAAGCCCCTCGTTACTGACGGGGACCACAATCAACTTCCGAAGATCCCTCTACCGCAAAGCCTGCTCGCTCCTCCATCAAATCCACGATGAAAGCGAACCAGATTGCAAGCACCGGCAGTTCTGACGGGATCGCACATGAGCCACAGGCGTCGCGAGGAAATGGCTTAGGGTTTGAAATAAAACAAGACAGACAAGCCTGCCAAAGGAAGGAGAGCAAAGGTGTAGTACAAGCTGGTGTTTCCTCAGACTGAGTCGCGGCAGCTCCTGATGGCGGGCGCCGGCTTAGCTGCAGCTGAGCCGCTGTACACGAAGAGAATCAACGCCATTAGGCTCGGGTAGCCAAGGAAACTACACAGCCTCGGCAGGGCAAGTCTCATTTCAGCATCGTTGGGAACCTACTTCCTTTTGAGTGTACGTCTGACGGACAACATTCTTCAACTAACCAGTATCCTCTTTGTACCCTCACATAATATGGTCCCCAATAGTAAGTAATTAGGATCTAATCGAGGGTAGAAGGAGGGTCTAGGTAACCAATACCCTAAAACATGAGAGTTCTGGCATTTTCCTAGTCATGCATTTCTCCATCAGCTATACATCAACTGCTCCATGCTCCTCTAGGCTTCAACTGTGCCGGGCAACCGGGTAGCAAAGTTCGGCCAGAGCCGCTACCGCAGAGAGCCCACATTCCGAAATTACTCAACCCTGCCGCCTCCGAACTGAACTCTTTTTTGAATTCCGCACCCTCGAGCCCTCTCAACCCCAATGTCCTGTCATCAACCCCTGACGCTCCTCGTAGCAAAAGCACTGACTATAGCAAGCCGGGGCACAGGATCACCGGTCTACGGCCAATCGTGTCGCTCAAAGAGCCCAGGAAGGGGCCCAGCGTGAAGTGGAGGAAGGAGCCCGCGGCCCCTGATATTAGATTCTATACTATGTTTTTTCAGCTTTCTATGTGTGTGTGTGTGTGCATGTGTATATATATATATATAGATATAGATATATATATATATATATAGATATATATATATATACAAATATGCACACCATGATTTAAAAAGGAGCCGTAATGCACCCAACCACTCCAAACCCCTAAACCAGAAGCCCGTAATTCCTGAACCCATCAACCCTGAACCCCGAAACCCTAGATCATAAAGCGTAAAGTTTACGGTTTATGAGGGTTTAGCGTTCAGGGGTCTAAACCCCCTCAACCCTAGACCCTAACCAACGACAAACGATGAAAATCCCATCATTTGCCAAGCTCTGCTTCCGGCTTTCTGGAGTTGCAGTGTCAGAACCGTAATAATTAATAGAGTACAAACTAACAGCCACAATGGTAACAATAGTGGCGAAAAGAGAAATTCTGCTAGTATCCATAGTTTCGCGGTTAGGATCAGAGCGTCTGCTGTGCAGAACCAAGCCGGGCAATGAAAGGCTTTCGATCCTGGCAATGACTATACTGAACTTAGAACCCTAGCAAAACTTCTAATTTTAGCTGTTTCTTAGGGAATATAATAACCAAAAAATAAAACATATTTCTAAGTACCCCTAAGGAAAACCGAATAAAGAATGAGGCTGTAACGCCTGGGTCCCGAAGGCCCGCGAGCTTATAAGCAAAGAAAACAAGAGACAAGACATGCGAGGATGCTCAGTCTGCTGCCAATAATGCTGCTCCAGAAAAGGTTGTCCTTGATGGCAGCCTCGAAATGCACTTGGGCTTACCTAGAGGCTCATAGGGCTGACAATCCCGATGATTCAAGCGAATTCAGGGTCCGGGTGATAAGGTTGATGATATAAATCCTGCAGTACCTTAAGGACCCTAAACTATGGGAATTATGGTATATTCCCTATATTGGTTCATGCAGGATTCTGTCCATCCACAGTATGGGTGCTTTCACCTGGCAAGAGGCGAGCCTGGCAGTAAACCAGCTCCGGTGTATCCTCGCAGTGGATATCTTCCGGCCTGCACTCAGCTGCCGTTTAGGATGTATTGGGCCTGTATGGGTTAGGGTAATATTATATGAGATCAGATCATATTATAACATACTATAATATACTAGATTACACTATATTATACTGTATTATACTGTAATATATTGTATTTTATACTATTTTATACTATATTATACTATATTATACTATACTATGCTACACATGTATCTTAAGGCTTCTGCGGTATGCGCCCGCATGCCAACCCAAGAGTCCTCAAGCTCGTGTACTGCTGGGCGAAGAAGTTTAAACCTCGGATGGCCATGGCTGAGTACCTATACCCTAGGGCTCTAAGGACTCATATATGAAGGCTTTTGGGCCCAAAGACCATACTATATAAGGCTTTGGGGCCATTTTGAGCCTTGGGGAAAGGGTATACCTATAGTCTCCATCGCGGTTCCTTTTTTGGTTAACCAGCTTTATGGTTAGGACTAGGACCCTATAATAGAGATTTTGGTTAACCAAAAAAGGAACTACAATGGAGACTATAGGTAGTATAGAATAATCTAATATAACATAATAATACAAACCACAATAAGACAAACATGAGAGCTTTCGGGTTCGATCGGGCGTGGACCCGCAAAGGAAAGAGCGTTCAGCTTCCAAGCTTTGCTCAAAACGGATGCCCGCAATATAGCGTACTAAAAAACAGTTATGTGTATATTTATATCGTAAATATGATACAACCCATATAGCATAGTATTTTCGTATAGTCTAATCCAATCTAAGCTAACCAAACATAATACAATGAAATCCGAGGGGCCGATGTAGGACAAGCTGGAGGTTTGGATGCCCGTGTTCACCCCACCCAGGATCACAGGGAGCCACAGAGAGCGGAGCTGCTTTACAACCTTCCCAGGAAAGTTTCGGCGGCGGGGGTTTCTCGAACCTGGCCTTAGAGTTTGTGGCTGCAGGCTGCAGTGTCCGAAGCTTGAAAGATTTCAATTAAAAGGGCTTGAAGAACAGAAGGTGGGATATCAGGCTTTGGGGGGGCAAAAGGGGCTTCGGATTCCTGACCGGATGCTCTGTTCATGCCGGAAGACCTCGCAGTCGAATCCCTAAACTTGTCACATAATATAGGAGCCTTAATCATTAGAATAGGGCTTTGGTGCCCATTATACTAAAAATACAATAAGGAACCCCCAAAATAGCATGTCTGATTCTGATCGGCCTGTGGGCCCAAAATAGTATCTTTAATTGTTTAGGGCCCTGTAGTACCTTTTTCACGCGCTTCTTCATGGGATTATCAACAGCAGCGCGCCTTGTACAGCTCCGACGTTGGGCTTTCCTGCAGACTGGGCACGAAGACAAGGGCTTACCAGGCACCTAAACCCTAAACCCTAAACCCAAAACCTTAAACCCAAAACTCAAAACCCTAAACCAAGCCTGGGACCCTAACTAATGATACCTATAGGTATTATTAGTTTAGGGAGAGCCCTTAAAAAGGGACCGTTCTTGGCCCTACTTCTGGCTCTCTGAAAAAAAGAGACCTTGGCGAGAGGGTCTACATCCCCAGAGGTCCCCATAATCCTAACTCTTAGTCGCAGCACGGGCAGCTCGCGAACAGACTTCTCAAAGACGAAGATCCAGCACGCATGCTGGAAACTGGACGAATCCCGTAGGCACAACCTAGAACCCCGCTCATTGGCCCCACCCTTGACCACAAAGCCTGCTCGGTAAGACTTCTAAATCTTAAATCCTGGCTCTTTAACTGCAGCCCAACCCTAAACCCTACTCGTCAAACCCTAGACCCTGCCCTAACCTGCAAAACCTGCTCCCTAAACCCGAAACCCCTAAACCCCTAAACCCCTAACCCTTTCTTACCCAGACTAATGCTGGCCTCCCTTGGCGTCTCTGGGAGCGCTGGGCCCATGGCTCCACACAAGCTACGGGTCCATTAGCAGTGCATGAAGGGGCTGCTACGAAGCCTGTCGGTCATCCGTTTAGGGTTTAGGGTTTGTTTGGGTTAGGTCCCCAGAGACTCCAAAACCTTTTAGTTAAGGAATATACCTTAAATCATAGAAGGATCCCTAATATGATTTAAGGAGCCTACCTTAATTGAGAGTCTTTAGGGCCTGTCTGCAAAAGCCAAAGCTATGAAAGAGCGACTTTTTAAAGAGCTGAGAGGATCGGGCTTTTCTCCTCTGCCCCTAAAGCTTGGTCGGTTGGGATATAAGATCAGATATGCAACATAAGGTAATGTAAAATCGTATAGGCTTCAGGGCCTAAGAGTCGCTATCAAGATCTGATTCTCTGAAGAAGCCTTCTTCCTTCTGCGGGTCTCTCCCATCATGTCGACTCAGGGCAAAAGGCATCCGGCACAAATAGGTGTCCACAGGTGTCCGTGGAAAAGCCTTCTCAGATTAAGCAGCGAAAACGGATAAGAATAACACTTAGAAGGGAACAAAAGGAAAGAAGCAGTCACAGTCATGATGCGGATCAGAAGAGTGACAGCTAAAACAAAGCACGGCTACGGCTAAACGGCAATGCCAGCGTGATGAGTTCAAGTAGCTGCAAGTGCAGGGAAGTTGGAGCAATGTCCGCAATGGATCTTATCGTCTTCACAGAGGCCATTCATCATGTTCGTAAGCTTCGCAGTTTACTGGCAGCAGTGAAATTACGGAAGCGTTGCAATCAAGCATAATTTGCCACCAAACACAGCAAATGGTGCTGATCATACCTTCAATGGCTGGCAGTCCTCGGGAGCGCGACAGTGCTGGCAGTAGTGATCGAAGAAACAAATTGAAGGCAATGCGGCGCAGCCGTCTAACACTGTGCGAAATGAGGATACGACTGCTTCAAGCTTCGAGGAGAAACTTTTGCAGCAGCAGACCACGAAATAACTGGGGTTCATGGCAACACAACCATAAGCAGCGTCTGCATCAATAAATACCATGGCGTACCAGTCTTGCTGCAGAATGTCGGACACGACAGCAGCGCAAAAAAGTCAGACAAACGGTCGAAGCCTTAACAAGGATGATGCTCTTCACATTATCGGCATATCGCTACACATGCAGCATTGCTGCCTGCGATCGTCGTGCTAATCAAAGACGGCAAAGTCGCAATACTGAGCAATCTCAATAACCAAGGCTGCAAACACCATAAGACGAGGAAGAACCACCCACGGGAGCAAGCAGAACACGGTTACAAGGCGTTGCTGCAAACACTAATATAGCATCTATGAGAAACTGCTAAGCCTAGGTGATTGTAGGTTATCGACAAGACCCAAATAGCCTGAATACTAAGGACCCAGGACCCTACCGTGTAATTACTACCAAGAGTAGATAAGTGTAGGTTGGTCCACAGCACTCTCGACACAATTTTGCGGGCTTCAGTTGCACATGCACCTGGAAGCCCAGCTGGAGCTCAAGGGTTGAGGGCTTTTGGGGTTGAGGGGTCTAGTATCGTAGGACCTTTAGGAGTTTAGGGTTTAAGGGTTTCGGGTTTAGGGTTTGGGGTTTAGGGTTTTGGGGTTCTGGGGTTTATGGTTCCGGGGCTAGGGTTTTCGGTCTCACTGTGGGCTTGCTGCAGGCATCGCAAAGGCGCCATCCCGCTTTGGAGATGAGGACAAACGTCAAGTGCGCCAGTAACCGATGACTAAATACACAACAACAAGGTGGGGAGGGGGAGTAGTGGTTCGGCTCTGGTTTCGGGTTTTAGCGTATAGAGCTCTGCATGAAGGCTTCAAGGATTTGCGTTTAGGGCTTGTTGGTTAGATGTTGATAGTGATTCGTGAGATCTCGGGGTCTGCATTGAGGGTCTGTGCTTTTCAAGAACCATATGTGGCGATTGGCAGAGACACAAGAGAATGCATCCTACGTGCCGACTGCTACCTTTAGAATCACTCTACCGTAGGGGCCTTAATAATCAGAATAGGGTTTTGGGCCCATTATACCATAGCTATAATAAGGACCTCCCAAAAAAAATAATAAGTAGTTATTAAGGCCCCTATATTATCCGCATCATCGGCTGCGGGCCTGGCACAGAGCCGTAAAGACTCAGAATCGAGTTCAACCCCTAAGGACTGGGGGAATGGATATTTGGGACGATTATTGGGGATGCTATAGGGGCTACTGTAGGGATCCATTCCCCCATTCCCTACCAAGAACCAGAGAGTTAAGCTTCGGTGTCGGGTTCTTCTTTTGTCTTGTAGGGTTTAGGGTTTAGGATTTCGACTTAGGGCTTCTCGAGAAGACGATCTTGAAGGCCCACGATCTCGAACAAACCCATTTCGATCATGCAAAGGCAAGTGCCCGAGAACCTCCTCTTCCTAGGGTTTAGGGTTTAGGGTTTAGGGTTTAGGGTTCAGGGTTCAGGGTTTAGGGTTTAGGGTTTATCTTCACTGAAGAAGTCAAGGACTAGGAGCTTTCTGCGCCCTCAGCTCCGAAAACCGACACTCCCAAGTCCCCTCTTGAACCTCAAGACACGGCGCTCCTCGTGCTTGAAACTTGAAGTGAAGGGGTTCGTACGCCTTCAGCCCCCACCCTCAGAACCCAGAACCCGCCCTGAACCCATCAAACTGCAGAGAGAGAGAGAGAGATAGAGGTATAGCATACATTTATAGTACTGTACTTACTTTTGCTATGTATTTGTTTGTAAGCTTATATAATAATCTTACCGTAAGTTTGTTGAGTTGTAGGTGCTTTTGTACTTCCCAGCGTGTGCATATATGGAAAACAAACCTGTACGTATATAAGAATCTAAACCCAAATATCCGTATCTACATCTATATAACATCTATATATATGTATATATAGATACGCATAATATATAGTTACACATGATGTATATATGTATTGTTGTGTGTGTGCGTGTGTGTTTGGGTTTCCCGAGCTTCCCCACCTCAGCGCATCCGTTGCCTCGGTGGGAGGCCGCGCGCCCAGGGAGGCCTTGGTATGGGGCTTTTAGGGCCTTTGGGGGTTTAGGGGTTCCTTTAAAGGGCTGTATAGGGTTACTTTAGGGCATTATAGGGCTTAGGGGATTTAGGGCTCGGTTTAGGGGTTTAGGGGTTTAGGAGTTTAGGGTTTAGGGGTTTAGGTTAGGGCTCAGGGCTTCTATTATGGGGGAGCTTTAAGGGTACTAGGGTTCCTTAAATAAAGGGATCTATACGGGTCTAGGGGTTTAGGGTGCAGGGGTTTAGGCGTTTGGGGTTGAGGGGTTCAGGGGCTTAGGAGACCGGCTGCTATCAGTTGATATCTGGTAGTAACCCCACATTCAGGAATGCTACTTTTGCCTGGTAATGCAGGGGTCTTCATAGTTAGAATAGGGTGTAGGGGCCCATAATACTATAACTACAATAAGGAACCCCCAAAATAGTGTTGGTCATTATTTAGGCCCCTATAGTAGGTGGTTGGCCTGAAGAATGAGCGGTGGCCTTTCTGCTAAGCA